ATATCACTCACATTTGCACACAGCACGTGTGCAGGTTTGCGAGCTCTTTGCAAACCTGCATTATTTGTCATCTGCATGAATATATTCCAGCACTATACCTTGCAGTCACTGAGTTGGCCAACGACTCCAATCTACATTAAAGTATTAATAAGTGAAATGTGAGGCCTGTCTGACAGCTTGGCCAAAACTGGGTCATGCCACAGGAAGTTCATCCCAAGTATGCTAAGTGGAAAAAGAAAGAATCACAGCTTATCTGCTTTATGCTAATGTAGAAGCTACCTGTCTAACTTTATCTTACCTGTCCATCCTTAGACGCTGCTAGAATTGGGAGCTTCTCCAGACTACAAGGACAGCCGGGGTCTTACTCCCCTGTATCACAGTGTGGTGGTGGGTGGGGACCCAGGCTGCTGCGAGCTTCTACTGAACCAGCACGCTTCTGTGTGTTGCCAAGACGAGAACGGCTGGCATGAAGTTCACCAGGTACGACCCTGTGCACGACGTGCACCTCTAGACACGCACATAAAAATAGATTAAAAAAAATTTCCTCTGTGGTTATTTGGAACAGCTTGTATTAGTAAGGCACGCACACACATAGCCTTTCTCCGGCTGTGGGCGACTGTCTTGGCAGCTGTTACCCGTTGAAGTAGATAAAGGCATTTAAAGAGAGCCACTCTGCAGCAGGAACAAACTGTGAGCATCTCCACAAAGCGTGTGAGAGGTTGCGTTCAAGCCATCTGCTTTATCAGATTCCTTACATCTCGTTATCCTTGTGGAGCTGTCAAAAACTCTGCCCTCCCCCAACTGTCCCATTTCACACATCATAACACTCTGCTGTCAATTAACAATTACATGTATAGGATGGCTGATGGGGGTTCAGACTGTAAAGTTTTCTTTACTAATCCATAAAATTCTGGAAAATGCCATCAAGGAACGTAACGAATATGCTGGTATGTTTCATGCTAACAGGCAAACAAAGCGCTGAGCGTTAGTAATGTAACAAACTTCATGGACACAAGAATGTTATCCCTTCACTGGACAGTAATGGCTTTATTGTATTGTTGGTGTGAGGGACCAAGCAGCCAAAGCAAAGAGGACACAGGCAAAAAATATCTTCAAAAAGGGTTTTCTTTATTTTAACCCTCAAAAAGTTCAAAATTAACCAAATTCAAAAACATACTTAGCAGGCCCATAAAAGAGGTCAACTAAATATAACTCCACGAAAAAGTAATGTCCAGAAACTTAAACAAAACAAAATGAGACACAACTTAACTCACAAACTGACCTAATTACAAAGACACATGAGGGTAGCTTTTATAATGATTTGGCCAAACCATTTACACACAATAGGGGGGGAAACAAAAACACACTAATATTAACTAAGCACAGAATAGCCTAACTAAACCTAAAACACCCCTGCTCCTGGTAAGCCCATGGTTGGTCCTGCTGAGCAGGCATTTTGTTCCCAGAGTCCTCAGCCACACCTTTTGCCCAGACAGGAAGCAGCCACTGCCCAAACCCAGGTAACTCAAAGAAAAAGAAACATAATTAATATAACAAAACATTTTAGAAAAACCACAAAATGTTACTATGTGCGCGCCTCATAATACCAGTGTTAGGTTTAACCAAATGATTAATGAATTATATTAATGAAGAAAACTGCAAAGCAAACTAATAAAGTGAAAAATGGACTAATTTACCCCTGTGTGGCTGATGCCATCACAGTTGGCACTTGACAGATTAATTGATCTTGAAATGAATTGTATTGGTCTCTGAGAAGAAATTCTTTTATTTTATAGTTCTATCCCAAAAGAACCACCAAAAAGCCAATTATTATCTCTTCACATAAAGGTCGTTTTTTATCACATAATTTAACTTCAGCATAATAATAATAACACAATAATAACACAAGCCTATTGGGGAGATATTAAAGCTTTATGTTACATTTCTTCTAGACCAGTTCTTGGTACTTGGCAGAGAAATGCTTTTTTGATAGTTATTTTGAAGCAACTTTGTCCAAATATTTGTCCAAGTTGCATTAAAACAATGATCAGTCAGTTAAACAGTTCATCCCAGAATAAGAAAGAATAAAAAGGAAAATAAAAAAACTCCCCTTTCCCCTGAGAACTAATGTTTATATCACCATCTTTTGAATTTGATAGATAGATTTCAAGTCTTTGAAAGGGTCTGTGTTGGCCGTGCTCATCCTAAGAGCCAGCTCCAGGAGTGCCTTCGGTCCTGGAGGAGCGACGCCATCAGGTCCATCAGGAAGTAGGGTTTGATTGTTCTTACACGTGAGACCGGCTCCTTCTCTCTGAGAAGAGAAGCACCTTGTTGGCGTAGTTGGAGGCTTTCTCTATCTGCTCCACGTAGGCGCTCACCTTCAGGGTGTACAGTATGGTGGCCCGGTGGTTAGTACTGTTGCCTCACAGCAAAAAGCTCCTGACTTTCACTCTACCATCTCTACCTTTCTGTGTGAAGTTTCCATAAGTTCTCTCTGGTACTCCAGCTTCCTCCCACAGTCCAGAGGGTCAAAGTACAGGGACTGACATTCATATGGAAATAGATTCAGGATTGGAGTGACCATCACCTGCCTTCTGTATATGGATGACATCAAACTGTATGCCAGGAGTGGGCAAGACATCAACTCACTGAACCATGAGCATTGGCCAAATGGTTGCAAATATAGGGAAAGTGATCTGGACTGAATATATGGAGATACCAGAAGGCAGGATAGTGGACAAAGAGAACAGTTATAAGTAGCTGAGTGTCCCACAGACCAATGGGAAGCATGATGAAGATGGAAGGTCAGCCATAGCCAAATACCCACAAAAGCTAAGATAGATGCCAAGAAGGAAGCTCAAACAACAGGAATAAAATCTCCCCCCAAGATAAGCTGCTCAAAGTGTACATCACACAGCTGAAGACGAACTGTGATGTGAAATAGAAGTGGGAAGCACAGAGGCCCTGATCATGGCAGCATGAGAACAGGCCCCAAGCACCAGATCCAGAGAGGCGGGAGTCTGCCTACAGTCTGTCTCTAAGTGCATGGAGGCAACTGTTGTTGTAATTTGGTGCTAAATAAATGAAATTGAATTGAATTACCAACAGCTGACAGACCCAAGTTCAGGCTGTGCAAAGGTGCCACAGAGAGTATTCAGCAAATAGTAGTAGGATGCAATCTGCCTCTCAGCGTTCACTGGGAGGAACAATCAAGTGGATGCAAAAGTGCACCGGAACATCTGCGGCACATGTGGATTAGGATATCCCCAATTCCTGATAGGAGACACCACCAAAGATGGTTGAGAACAGCGGGGCTAAGATCCTGTGGGACCCCAGACAGAAGAGGAGCTGCTGGCAAACCAGTCAAACACAGTGGCAGCTGACAAGGAGCAGAAGATAGAATTTGCAATAGATGTGACAACCCAGCAGACATTACACAGCAACATCAGAATGAAGAAGCACTGGAAAAAAGTCAAGTACCAGGAGCTGAAGTAACATCTGGAGCAGTTGTGGAAGGTGAAGTCCAAAGTGGTCCCAGTGGTAATAGGAGTGTTTTTGAGTCATATGTGTTATAAAACTGGTCATTCTGAATAAGGCCACTCTACATAATGACTACTTTAGGTAATGTCAGTATGTTACAATGGTAAAACTTGTAATATTAGGATTCTTCACTTAGCAAAACATTTAATACAGAAAAATGTTTAATGTGCCAGATTTCATACGAGGTCTCAGGGCTGGACATGAGTCCCCAATGCTTCCCAGACCATTTTCCTTATTGTATTTGTTGGATTTCCCATGAGTGTTGGACCACGTGCTCTAGGCTTTTCAATATTACATGTTACAAAACCGACAAAAAGATGAGCCCAGTGAAAAGGTTTAGATGCATGATACTGAATACTGTAATAATGAATTTCTTTTCACTGTAACACGCTTTAGTTGATGAGCAGTTATTGTCCTCCTCTGACAGACCCATCAGTCTCTCAAAGAAGCTCCGGAGTAAATAGGCCATTTCACAATAAGCTCTTCCTCACACAATAACAGGCACCCGCCACTATAACTCCCAACTTCACTGATATTGACGAGGAAATTGGTTCATGAGCGCAGTAACTTCCTCCTCAGTCTGTTTTTGAACACCAGATGGCTTCATTTGTACATTCTGTTGCATTTTGATTTGCTATCAGATTTATTTAAGCCTTCCTCCTCTCATCCTATCCTTCCATCTTTTCATGACTGGGTTCAAACTGAGGGTACAGCTGCGTCTCATTTTGATGTTATCTCCTTTGCAGCACACTGACATCTAGTGTTGGAGGTATTTTACTGCAACTTCTCTTGAGTGGAAGCATCAATTGACTTTTTTGTGTATGTGCAGGCTTGTCGTCATGGCCACGTGCAGCACCTGGAGCATCTGTTGTTCTATGGAGCAGACATGAGCGCCCAGAATGCCTCGGGAAATGCTGCTCTACACATCTGTGCCCTATACAACCAGGTGAGCCGTGGGCGATTACATATGTTGACAGTTCATGAACTGGAGATGTAGATTTAATATTGATTTCTTATTCAAATCCATTTTCAGGGTATTTCTTTGGCATTTTAACATTTTTGCCACTCTGAGTGTCTTATTCATACGTGCAGGCACACAGTGCTGTAAAAACATATTTGCCCCGTTCCTGATTTTTAATATTAGTCAGAGATAACCTAATAAATAGGTGTGAAACGATGATTTCATTTATTAAGGGAAAAAACTTTCCAAACCTCTTTCCCTGTGTGAAAAAATAAAGGAGTGATTTGGCCAGAATCCACACATCAGGTGTGACTCACTCACAGACAGTATGCTCTCATTACAGTTTCTATAACAGGCACATCAGAGGCACAAGTAAATGTGTACATGCACCCTCTAGATCAGAGACAAAGTTGGGGTGAAAGAGAGAGGAAGTGCAATATTTAAATGCACCTAAATGCTGCAAAATTTGCGGCATTTGTAAACTTGCAAAAATTTGCAGCTAAACCATCAGTCGTCTATTTTGCATGGGTTACTTTTGCTTTATGCCTGGCGTCTCCATTTGTGTTAAATTTGTGAGTAAAAATTGTGTTTCCAGACAAAGACGCATTCCTTTGGGATTGCATCAGGGATGGTATCTGGTGTAAAACTCTAGCTTTTATACTAGAAGCAGTAGCTTCTTAATTTTGCTGTGAGCTAATAAAAACAATCATTTGAAAGTTTGAGCTTACTCTGTATTATTCTCTGCTTAAAACATGTAGGTTAATTATTCTATATACACACATTGAGTGTGTATTTTGTGTGTTCTGTGGTTGGTATATTCCTGGTGCTGCACCTACAGCCATATTTTGAAATCCATCTGCTATTCGGATTGGTTGATCCCACATTTTTGTGGTTTGTGAATCTGGATAACTTTGATTTTAAATACGCATTAATGTTGTGACTGTTGTGTTGTATTACATTAGTTTTGCATTACTCTGTAAGATGGCTGAGATGCATTGTCACATAATTATAAGTTAAGTGAATCAAATCTCTGTCCTAATGAGGAAAAACAAGATATTTTTGTTCAAGAACACAAAAATAAAAGCAACAAGCTCAAAACGTATTTAACAGCAAA